CACCAGGCGCGCCCCAGCCCCACTCCCGGAGCGCCCGCAGCAGGGACAGCTCGGTGCCGGGTCTTCAGACCTGTCTGCATGGAAACAGCGTGGGTCTCGTCCCTGATGCGCTGACCCTGCTGATCGCTCAGGATGCCGCCCGCCAACAGCTTCCATTCCCAGGACTCAGCATCCCGTCACCCCAGCGGACGGCGGAGAACGGGCAGGAGAAAAGGCGAATGCTCGTGGCTGGTCACGCTCCATCGGCTTTTCCAACAGCAGCCCTGGTGGCTCAGGGGTGAGCGGCGGCCCAGGCACCAAAGGGTCTAGGGCTCGATTCCTGGTCAAGGGCTGGTACTGGGTCGCAGATTCGACACCCAGCCTTGGTCAGGGTGTATGCAGGAGGCAGCCCATCGATGTGTCTCTCTCACATCAATATTCCTCTCTCTCTAACCGCCCCCCCCTCCTCTTCCCTTCCCTCCACTCTCTATAAAAATCAATGGAAAAAACATCCTTGGTGAGGATTAAACTAAAACAAACACACACACAGAAACACAAATCCTCAAACCGCCCCCCCACCACCACAAGAACAGATCTTTCAGCCACACCTTTCTCTCCCTGCACAGGGCCACACCATGGCGCCGCTAGTCTGGGGTCACCCAGGGTGGACTTCACCCGCCGCCTAGGAGGAGGGAGCACACTCTATCCCTGGAACTTCACAGCCGTGGCAGGCCCAGGAAAGATGGTGGACGCCGACCAGAGGCAGGGGCAGCGAGGGAGAAGGCCGTGGGCCCGGCAGAGCGGCCGTCAGGAGCCCTGGCGGGAGCTAGGGCAGCGCTCAAAGGTCCCTGAGGTCACGGGCGGGAGCGAGCTAGTTGGGAAAGGAAGTGTGTTTCTTACAGGAATTTGCTGGATCGGGTCACATAAAGCCTGAGTCACTCCTGCTGAGCAAGGGGACACAGGGCGGGGACGTGACATGGCTCTAGGAGTAGTCACTGCAGGAGACAGCACAGCCCATGTCCGTTGCTCCCTCGACCCCCTCCCAGCGACCCCTCAGCCATGCAATCTTGTCCCTTAGTTTAGAAAGAGGGATCAAAAATGTGCCGGTGGGAAGCTATCAGATGACGGAGTCAGCTTAGTTGGTGTTTATCACATGCACACACACACACTCATACACACATACTCACACACACTCACATACACTCACACACTCTCTCTTTCTCTCTTAAAATGAAGCAAGTGGAGAGGGAGATCATACATGACAATTAGATCTCTTTTTTAAAAATATTTTTTTATTGGTTTCAGAGAGGAAGGCAGAGGGAGAGAGAAACATCAATGATGAGAGAGAATCATGGATCGGCTGCCTCCTGCACGCCCCACACGGGGATGGAGCCCACAATCCGGGCATGTGCCCTAGCAGGGAATTAAACTGTGACCTCCTGGTTCATAGGTCGATGCTTAACCACTGAGCCATGCCAGCCAGGATAGCCAGATCTCTTTGATGCAAATATTTTGATTCCATTCATAACTCCCATGGATTTCAATTTTGAACAAGAGGTTTGTGAAATGGAAACATGTCACGTTTTTCCTTTCAAGGCTGAATGTAGCTTGAAATCAGAGCATCATCTCTGCCCATTCAATGTGTTTGTCCACTCACTCTCCTGTGGCTTAAACACGGAGTCGCCCCCACACCGGCCCCGTCACTCAGGGCCCATCGGATGGGAGGCAGCACAGCCGGCCGCAGGACGGGGTGCAGAGCTGCCGGCTGCTCTTCAGTGAGAGGGAGCCTCGGGAAGGGGTGTTGAGGGTCAGGGGACCCTCCCGGTGGTCAGTTATTGTTCATTTGGAGAAAATCACGAAGAAATATCACTGGACAAAGGGCAGCCAGTCTTCTTTCTCCATTGATTTTTCCCATTTATTTCTCCTTTGCTAGTAAAACATTTTTATTTTTATTATTATTTTTTAAAATATATTTTTAGTGTTGATAGTATTACAGATGTCTCCCTTCCCCCCTTTCCTCCTCCTCCCACCCCCTCCCTGCAGATCTTCCCCACCCTATTGCCCCTGTCCATGGGCTATGCCTATCTATACTAATAAAAGGGTAATATGCTAATTAGACTGGGGGACCTTCCAGACATCCTTCCGGACAAAGCCATGGTAGCAGGGCCAAGGCAGAGGCAGTTAGGCGTGATCATTTTGTTCATTAGATCCCACAAATAAGTGAGATCATGTGACATTTGTCTTTTTCAGTTTGGCTTATTTCACTCAGGATGATATTTTCTAGCTCCTAAAAATTTTTCAAAAGCAGCTCTATTCACTGTTTGTGCTGTGTGTGTGTGTGTGTGTGTGTGTCTGTCTGTCTTTGGGGAGGGGGTGGAGAGATGATCATTTTTATTTTATTTTTTTTATTTTATTTATTTTTTTTTAAATTTTTTTTAAAAATATGTTTTATTGACTTTCTACAGAGAGGAAAGGAGAGGGATAGAAAGTTAGAAACATCGATGAGAGAGAAACACCAATCAGCTGCCCCCTGCACGCCCCCCTCTGGGGATGTGCCCGCAACCAAGGTACATGCCCTTGACCGGAATCGAACCCGGGACCCCTGAGTCCGCAGGCCGACGCTCTATCCACTGAGCCAAACCGGTTCTGGCGATGATCATTTTTAAATACAACTCAAACTCTGGGGCCCTCTAGTGGCCCAGAAGCCTGAACTCTGGCTGCAGGCGAGTTCTGTGTACTTGGCCTTCAGCCCTGACATGCAGGCCCAGCCTCTCGGCCATGGGAAAGGGCTTGTCTAGGCAGAACCTATGAGGTCTGCGACCCTGCGCTGAACCCCACCTCCCGCCTCTGCCCCGCGCTGGAGGGCCCTGTGCTCGAGGAACAAAAGGGTCACTGTGGATCCCAAACACACCAACCTGCAGGGTGAGAGACGCCCATCTCTACGCTTCCAGGTGCCCACCTGACCCACCACCCATGAACTGGGGGCCTCTTACAATGAAAAACTAAAAGGAGGGCTGAGTGGAGTCACACCTACTTGGAAACTGGGCAGCTGGGCTGGGATCCAGCCCATGTACGTGGCCAGCATCCCCCCACGCCTGCACTTCTGTGGCGTGAGGCTGGGCCCGTCCTCTGGAGCGTGGCTGGGCTCTTGGAGTGAGATGGGGAATGTGGCCGCAGTGGGTGGCAAAGGACACTGTTCAAAAGAAGAATGCTGCCAAGAGGAGTCTGGGCCGGGAAAGGACTTTTCCCAGCTGGCAGGACCCAGGTTAGCAAGGTCTAAAGTCTCTCCATCTCTTCAACCCGTTCCCGCTGCCTCAAATCCACACCCAATAACCACTCCACACTCATGCGTGGCTGTTCATTCTTCCTTTTATTTTTTACAAAGCGTGGCAACACGAGGGGACAACACACAGTGAGGAGCCGCCCTCTGGGGGCAACCCTGACTGTGGCCTGTAGGGCTGGTCCCCGAGAGGACGTGCCTCTGAAATGCTTCTTCCGGTGGAGGTGGGGGTGGGGGAGGGGAAGATGAGAAATCAACACCCACAGTTATTCAAGTGGACTTAACTGCTAAACACAATATACACAGTACCTCCGTTATCCTAGTACAAAAATAGTGCCAGAAACTATATATTTGTTCAAATATGTTGAAAAGGTATAAGAATACAAATAGATATTAACAGTGGCTAGTGATGATTCATCAGGTTTTCTTAAACTGTAATAGAAATTTTTATTTCCCACTATTTACACGGCTTTCAACAGCATTCGTTCGGACGTGTCTCCACAGGCTTTGAGGAGGGTGTGGACGGCAGCGTGAGCTGCCGAAGGGCCCCCATGTGCATGGGACAGGCTGTGGCCAGCAACCTGGGGACGGTGCAGCACACGGCCCCACCCCAGCAGCGGCGCCCTCGGGGCTGGCGACAAGCTCGCAGAAAGACAGGTGTCCTGACGGATCTCCTAAGGTCCAGGTGAGGAGCTCCTGGAAAATGCATGACCACAGGTTTATTGATGAAAACAAAAGTGACACCATGGGACACAGGGCAGGCTTCAGCGCTGAGCTGGTCCCCACCAGCACCGTCCACGAGGCTGGGAGCCCACGAGGCTGCTGTGCTGTCTCCTCAGTGGCCTTCGCCTGGCGCGTGGCAGGGACTGAGGCGGACACAGGTCAGCAGGGACCATGGCAGGGACCAAGGCAGACACAGGTCAGTAGGGACCGAGGCGGACACAGGTCAGCAGGGACCGAGGTGGGCCAGGCAGAGTGGCACTGCCCCCGTGTAAGCAGGCGCTTGGGGAGGCAATGGCGGGGCCACGGTTTCCTTCTCTCATCATTAAGGATCTCAGCATGAAGCAGAGCAGCATCGCTTGTGCGGCCATGATGCTGCACGATGAGAAACACAGGAAACGTGAAATCCACGGGGTACAACACGCGTGCTCTGTGCCCGACACGGGCAGGTCCCGGCGAGGCAGGCTCGCAGCTGGGCCCGTCCCCCCGGAGCTAGCACTCCGGCAGGTTCTCACGCTCCAGGCCAGCAGGGCTGGGAGGAAACCGCTGGGGATTAGGAGACAGGTGACTACCTCATGCCCGGCTGTGCTCTGAGGCCACGCTCAGCCCGAGTCCCCCGCGCACCAGCCGTCTGGTCTGCGTGAGCAGCGAAGGAGCTTGTGTCTCTGAGGAGCCACCCGTGGGATCACAGCCCTGTGGCCACGTGTCTCATGCGACAGTGGTCTCGGCTGCTGAGTGGACAGAGCAGCCGCCGCCTGTGACATCCTTGGGGAGACAGAGGCTTCTCCTGAACACAGCGCCTCCGTGTCCGGGCGACAGAGGTTGTGACCCACATGAGTTCACACAGGATGGCGGCCAGCAAAGCCCCCGCTCCGAAAAGTACCCGGCCGGGCATGTTCACAGATTCAAACAGCTGAGTGAGCAGTGGGGGCTCGAGGGCTGACCATGGAAATGAAATAATGGTGCAATGTCACTCAGCTAAAACCACACCAACCGCTTTCTCTGGAGCAGAGGGCATGCTTGCTGGTTTGGGTGATAGACACACAGGGGAAGGCGGAGGCCTACACCTGGGGGGCAGGCGGAGGGCTACAGCTGTGAGCACATGAAACAGCGTTTTCTTGTAGCGTGACTTACTAATTGCTGTATTACTTCCCATACCAACAACTATCAGCCCACCCTGGACATGTATTTCCCACCTAGGAAGCGACAGGAAAGAAAATATTCACATGAGAATGAAAACTTTGTGCCACATACCAGGTAGGAGCCCATGTATGGAATGATTTTCCTAAAAATGGAGAAGTAAAATGGCTGGAACCAGCTCTAAAGAAGTCTTCTTCTGCAGGGACTACAGTGCCAGGCGTGGCACAGCCTAACTTCTAATTTCTAAACGAGTGAAGTAAAACCAGCGCATCTACAGGCAAACCGAACGGTTCCTAGTCTAAGTGTATCTCTCTGCCTGTTAAAATGGCCCCTCACACCCTCCCAGACTCATCTGCAGTGGCTTTTACAGTCTCAGTGATGTGTGGCGGGGGGGTTGGAACTGAAGCGTATGACGCAGACGGAGGCACGGTCACAGGGCACGGTGACAAGTAGGTTATGAGAGATGCCACTTCAGACAGTGTTCCACGCTGAGGAACACGCATACACAGGGGTGTGCACAGGATGCAGGTGTGTGATTCAGGGGCAGCCTGTGGCAGACACACCTGCTTCCCCAAGAGGTGCCTCGGCTCATCTGAATGACATGAGATAGAAATAGGGTCACATCCTGAACATACAAGTGTCATGACAATCACACACACAGCATCACGCAGTCCCTAACGCTGCAGACTGGCCTTTCTCACAGAGTGAAGGCCGTAGATTTGCCCCCCCCCCCCCTTTTTAAACCTGAATGGTAAGAATGCAGATACATTATCCCAAGGTAAACGTACATATACAACTTCACCTGCTGAGTGTTAGGCAGTTTAGAGGAAAATGCTACCCATGGGAACCTTGTTTCCATGAAAACTTTGCTAATGCTGTTACCGGCCCCCCAGAAACTTCCCCCCAAAACAGAAACTTGTTTGGGGTTGGGGGCAGGTAACAAACCAAACAAACACCGCTCTTCCTGCTCAGTCCAGACATCTGCAGGGATTTGAGCGGATTATCTTTCTGGAAGCAGCCGCCTGCCCCCTCTGCGTCTCCAGTGCTGGATTGTACACAGGAGCACACACTACGAGTGGAGCTCAAATACTAAAAATGTTCACATTTTCTAAATGGACGGGAAGCGAGAGACATGAATACACCAGGCCCAGCTCAGGGCCCATGGTTAGGGCACACACCCACATTCTGTGATCCCGGGCGGACTGGTCCCACGAGCCCACACTGGGCACTGCCTCAGGCACAAAACAGACTGCTGACCGTCCCTCAGGCCTGAGTGTCCTGCTGCTGCCCCAGTGGGCTCATTTCCGGCTCATGTCCAGGTGGCCTTCTGCTGCGCTCTCCTATCGGCAGTCACATCTCACGCCAGCTCTGGGCTCCAACGGCCACTTGGTTCTTGATTTCCCACTGGGGTGCAAACCGGCCCACTATAAACTATGCTGTACGATGAACCGATGATAAACGCTGAGGGAGTTACACACAAAAAAGGGGCAGAACTGGTGACCGTAGCGTTTCCGAGTCACACTGCCTGTTGATAAGATCAGTGATGGTCAGTGAAACGACAATTCTGCCCTGCAGCACTTTCCATTGCTTAGGAGTTTTAACTGTTTTGTTAACATAATACATTGTTGACAAATAATCCCCTCCCCCTTTCACATCCACGCAGCCCCAACTTTTCTCTATCTTACGAAGGTTTTACGTGTCATGGAATATATTCCATTTGCTCTGGGTCTATTTTTGAGAAAGAAAAGATTCCAAACATTCTTGAAAGGTCGGCGATTCCAAAACCACAAAACCAATCGCTTAAAATTCCCAAGCGAAACAGCCAACTGAACGCGAGACGCAGCCCGCACTCTCAGCACCGATTCCTGCGTGGACCTGCGGTGGGGGGTCGGTCCCGTGGTTGGGGGGCGGTCCGGTGCTTAGCGAGCCTCAGCTCAGTGGGCAACACACACACACAGGCAGGCAGGACTGCCCCCTGAAAAGTCCCCGCTGTGCTCTCAGAAGCTGTGCAAACACACCAGGACACCGTGGAAGGGCACAGGCAGCCTGTGCAGCATCTAGCGAGGCCGGGCCGTGCAGACCGCGGTCGCCAGCATCCCGCCCAGGGCCCAGGCGGTCAGCTGCGTGGGGCAGGGCCGCCAGCCCCGTTGACCAGTGTGTCCTGCTGCTCAGCCAGCGCCTGCCACTTCTGCCTGTTGTGCCTGCAGCCATCCAGCAGGGGGGAGCAGTCAGGGGACACGCGGGCCAGCGCCTGGGGAAGAAGAGAGAGCCGCCTTAGGGGGCGCTGGGTAGTAGCCCTCCCCGTGTGCCAGCTGGACCGCTCATGGCGGGCAGCCTGCGGCTTTCACAGGCTTCGTGATCACCCAGAGACCATGGCTGTGACATACAGAAGGTCCCCTCGGAGTGAGTCCGTGCTGAGACAGGGCGAACACGCGTCACAAACCACAGCACTGGGCTGGGCGGCCCCGAGAGCTGCTGGCAGGGCAACAAGGCATTTTGCCTTTTTACGTAGCACAGACGTCGCCCCCTGCTTGCGACTGTCCTGGACACTCTGTTTATGTGTTTTTCTATAAAACTAGAGGCCCAGTACATGAAATCTGTGCGTGGGGGGGTGGTCCCCTCAGCCCAGCCCACACCCTCTCCATACAGGACCCCTCAGGGGATGTCCAACTGCCGGTTTAGGCCCGATCCCCAACCGGGCCTAAACTGGCAATTGGACATTCCTCTCACAATCCAGGACTGCTGGCTCCTAACTGCTCACCTGCCTGCCTGCCTGATTGCCCCTAACTGGCCCCCCTGCCAGCCTGATCACCCCTAACCACCTCTGCCTGCTGACCTGATCGCCCTTAACTGGCCCCCCCTGCTGGCCTGGTCACTCCTCACTGACCCCCTCTGCCGGTCTGATGGCCCCTCACTGACTCCCCCTGCCGGCCTGGTTGCCCCCAACTGCCCCCCCATGGAGCCTGGTTACCCCCAACTGCCACGCCATATCGGCCTGGGAGCCCACACCTGCCCGAGCTGCGCTGCTGGTCGCTCCCCACGTCACCCCACCGGAATCATCAGCAATTATAACTGCCCCCCCCAGCCCACATGAAGTTCATCTTACGTTCTTACTCTTAGCTTTCATGCACCCACTGCTATGAAAGGTCGTGTGTAAGTCTCCATCATCATATCTACAGCCTGCCTGTTCCGCTTAGAAGGCCACCCGAACAGAAAATATGATACTCCTATATGAACACATACGCTGTCTGTTGGCAGTACTGTACATGTCAAACATATTTGAAAACCACTGTGAAAACACTCTATGACGAGTCCTATTGTTGATTTGATGGTGTAGGGAGGTTTTGTTTCATTCACCGAATCACAACATATGTCATTGAGAACCAACTTCCCCCTACCTTTAAAA